GATACTTTGAGACATGGAGGCTGAAGAAGGTACGTTGAGAAAGCTCACTTTTCCTCAGCTCAACTTGAATCATCATGAAACCAAACTTAGTAAAACCACCTCAACTGCCTCACTGGAGGCCCAGCCCCTTCCTCACAATGCCATGCTACTTACTGCTGCCCCACTGTCTTGTAATTTAGAGTCAACGGTCTTTAACTAGCATTCCAAATAAATGTGGCCTAAGACAAGAGGATTGGAAAGTGTGAATACATGGCATGAAAAGGGGAAAATACAATTTTTAAAATTGAGGGCTATCTGGAAGAGATTTTAAGTCTAGAAATTAACTTTTAAAGGGCAGATTTCTGAGTCTTTCATTTTTGTGCACTTAACATTCATTCTTCAAGGAAATGGAATTTATGAATAGAAAAACCAAGAGCATACTTTTCTACTGACAGGAAGCTGTGAGGAATTTTTATTTGTGGGTTTCTAATTGTTAAAAAGTAGGCAATCCTCCCACCCTCCTTTAGTCCTCTGTGGCTCATTGCCTTGTGGCCAGTTCTTTTAATCTGAAGCAGACTAAGAATCCAGCCGCCATCTACCTTTGGCCAAAAGGAAGGCTCCTTCCATTACACAGGGAGACATTGAAGTAGAGGATGCTAATTCAGTGAGAGTCAGAAAGAAGAGGCAGCCGCAGGAAATTGCAAACTGCAAACTTGACACAGCTAAATAGGGGGAAGGAAAGAACGAAAATATCAGAAATGTATTTTTTCTGGCAGGCCTTCAGCTCCAAAATGGGGCTAATTCTACCTTTTGAAAAGAAGATAATTTCCATGTTTCTTTTTTCAAGAACACATAATTGAAGTTATTTTCCCTATGAGAGAAGGAACCTCTTGTACATCATTACAAATGGACAAGAAAAATGAGCAGCTCTGGTACCCAGAGTGATAGAGTATTCATTATCATGTAATCTTCCTGAATATCGTGCCTGCTTTTTCCCTGGTGTGCTTTATCTGATGGGGTGGTGCTTTGCCGCTAAGGTTCAGACTTGCACTAAGTTCTATGTGTGGAGCACCGAGGAGCTCAGAAATCAACCACCTGGAAGGATTCAAGAGGCTACTAACAGAGTCAATAGGGAGTACTGGTGGCCTAATGGTAAGAAGCTGTGTTGTAATCCCAAAGGTATGCTGTTCAAATCCACCAGCTGCTCCATGGGATAAGGACGATCATTCTTCTCTTGTGTGATTTACTGCCTCTCAATATCTGGTGGAGAGCCAGTTATAAGTCAGTTCCAAATAGATAACACATAAAAACAACAACTAGAGTCAATCAGGGGGCTGAAATGGTGACCAGGTATTTGTTAACATTTTGCAAAATAGTTCTTTAGGAAATGTAATTCATATTTAAAGGTGGTAGCAAAGATTCAAGGTGTTGGGTGTCCCTGGTTCATTCTCCCCTCATCCGGAGTCTTTGCTGATTTTTGCCTTGTTGTTGCTGTGTACCGTAGAGTTGGAACCGACCCATAGCTGATCCCCCAGTGGGATTTCAGAGGCAGTTTATCACACTTTTCTGCTTTAACATTTACAATGAGAGTCTGACTTCTCCATCCTACCAGGGTGATGGTCAGATGGGTTAATTAACTTTTATAGGTTCTTAATTTTATGTCCCACATATAGTGAAAGTTCAGTAGGCTGCAGGAACCCTGCGGTATGCCCACTGCTTACTCAGATTAAGAAAGCTGAATGAAGTTCTGGATTGTTTCAGAGGATGCTGACAAATGGCCTAAACACATCTGTAAGTGGAAACCTCTGTAATAATGAGGTTTCCACTTACTCAGTATGTGTCTGTTTTTATAGACTACAAAGTACCTGTAAAAGTGAATGTCTGTGATTTCACTGTCAATATCCATAATGTATACCTATCACATTAGGGGGACACACACACACACACACACACACACATGCACACATATCTGATTTATAGTTGTTGTTGTTGTTGTTGTTGTTGTTGTTGTTGTTGTTGTTAGGGGCCATAGCATTTACTACAACCCTATGAGCCACAGATCAAAAGCTCATTCTGTCCCCATCCTCACAATCTCCACCATGCTCAAGCCCATTGTGTCAATTCACCTCATTTGAAGGTCATCATCTCTCATTGGTCCTCCATATTTCCCAGCCTGATGACTTTTCCAAGGACTAACCCTTATTGACAACATGCCCAAAGTATGTGAAATGAGTTTACTATCATCCTTCTGTGCAAGGAACACCCAGGTTGCACTTTCTCCAAGACAGATTTTTTTTTGTTCTTGTTCCTTTGGCAGTCTGTGGTACTCAGTACCCTTCACCAGCCTTTTGAAAACTCTGATGGAATAGAATAAGAATAAGTACATTAATTTTGAAAGCATTTTACACATAAAGACAGAGGTCCAGGGAATTGCAGTTACAGGACAAGTTAAAGGCAGAACAATTTGTTTTTCTTAGCACCCACTGAGTGGATCTCCCATTCATGGTGATCCCAGGCAGAATGTGCTCAGATTGTTGCAATCCACAGAGGTTTTTCATTTGCTAATTTTCAGAAGTTGGTAACCAAATCTTTAATCTACTCGGTCTTAACTGAGAAGCTTAGCTGAAATCTACCACAAGCATATAGACATATTCTTCATAATCAAGTCTTCTGTGCCATGGATTTTCATGTAATATATAAAATTCTTCAAAGTACCATGAAATATTATGGGGATAGTCACTGATATTTGGCTTAAGTTTTTAAACCAGCAGAGTTTCTTTCTTTGCCAAGCATTCTATCCAAGTCAGGAATAAGTCCTAATTTAATGTAGTCTCATCTAAAATTTTATCAGGGACCCCACTGATGAGATCTTTGGTTGCTTAGTCTGAAGGAAATCGTGCCCCAAAGTTTGCTGCTTTGGTGATTTGAATTTATAAGCTCCTCAGAGGAAGTTAGACATTCTATTCACATGGGATTTGCAGCTTCTGAAAACTAGCTGGAAGATTATCTGTAAATTCTAATTCTGTGACGATTAGTTGATGAGGATGATGATCCCATTGGAAAGTTCTATTCATTCAAAGCCTTTCCAGGATTAGTAAAGAACTAGGTGCAAATGCCAGCAGACATTTTCTATTGCTTGACATTTGAAAAAAGAAAGAAACTGTGCTGCAATCCCTGAAGGCACACAGTTCGAGCTCACCAGCTGCTCTGTGGGAGAAGGATGGACAATCTCCTCCTAAGCAATTAACTGCATCTGAAAACCTGCTGGAGGGCCCACTATGGGTTGGTTTTGACTCAGTTGTGCATAACAACAACAACGACAACAGCATTTTATTTTTGTGTAATTCAGAAAAATAATCTTTGTTGTAAACAAGGGAAAATACATAGAAATGGAAAAATGTAAACCACCAACTTCGCCAAAACTTTGAACCATTAATCTCTGCCCATATCTCTTTCCAGTCTGCCTCAAAGTGTTTGTTGCCTGAATGACTGTCCTTTATGTGGTAATATCAGGGCCACACTCTTTCCATCCTGTGCCTCACATGACCACATACACCAACAGAGGAGAGTGGGAAACATAGCACAGCTTTATACCTGGAAAGAAGAGTGAACAAGTTTGGAAAAGCAATTCTCAGTCTCAACCACCAACACACTCTTAGTGCCCTTGATTTGTGTTTTAACCTTTAAATTTCTCAGAAATATGGTGTCTGGTTGCCATTTTTAAGGCATTATTGGCTGTGGTGCAGGTTTGATATTTAGAAGCACAACTTTACTAAAGTCAATTCTATTCTTAAAACCTACTGATATTTATTGGTTGCCTAACAATAAAATCTTAGCATAGACTTGAGTTCACCTCTCTAGCTTTGTTATAGCTCTAAAACTCAACACCATCAAGTCCATCCCAGCTCATGGAGACTCCATGTGTGAAGATTTAACAGGTTTTACAAGTTATGATCTTTCTAAATTGCTAAAAGAACAATAGGCATGTCTTGGAAGGACATGCCAGAGTACTCCTTGGCAACAAATTGAGTGAAGCTTCTTCTCTTATGCTTTGGACATGTTGCTAGGAGACTCGATTCTATGGAAAGGGTCATCATGCTTGGAAAGATGGAAGGCCAGCAAAAGGGAGGAAGAGAAAGACCTCCAATGAGATAGATTGACATAGTGACTGCAGCAATGGGTTCATCTGTGCCAGATGATGAGAGTCCATAAGATAGGATAGAGCTCAGGTCTGTTGTTCAGAGGATCGTTATGAGTCATACTCCACAGCAACAACAACACAATATATTGTAGGCCTTTCTCCTAAGACAGTTTTGTCAGGTTTGAACCACCAATTTTTCAGCTATTGGTTGAATTCTTAACTATTTGCCTCACTCAGGGAATTCTAACTTTACACCTCCTTCAATGTTTCTTAGTACTTTTACTGAAAACCATTTTTTTTAGAATATATACATTGTTCATGAAAATGTTTTTTTCCTTCCTTCTTCTCTTTCTCCCTTTTTCTGTCCTTCTCTCTCCTTTTCTTTCAGGTGTAATATGAAATGCAATTTATCCTCCAAGATCAAATTAAGATTCCATCTCCTTTCTGTCATCTCCCATCTCAGAGCACTGGATTCATACTTGTGTTTTTGAGCTAATATTTCATTCTAATAATCTATTTTCATGTTCATTTCTTTCTATATTGTGAATTATTGAAGACAGGAACTCTGAATAATTTTACTTTATGTTGTAATTTACTGTACTTGCTATCTGACAGTCCCTCCTGAAGGGTAGATTCCTACGGTTGTAAACACAGATTTCTAAAACATCATAGATGTCTTCGCTGCATAACACAAGTGAATAAAATGATTTCTCTAAAGTCAGGTACTAGAATAAATATTAAAACTGTTTCTAAAGCTTAGGTTTCCCAGTGACTAACTGGAGCTTCCTCCTTTGCAATACAATGCACTGCTTCTTTAAGCTGACAATTTTATTGATGTCTGCATTGAATTTAAATGGTTGCCATGTCTTCTGCTTTTCAGGGTGGACATCCAGGACCAGTGGGGCCTCCAGCCGTTCCCTCCTCATTCCGCCCAGAAGATGAACTTGAGCATCTGACCAAGAAGATGTTGTATGACATGGAAAATCCACCAGCTGATGAATACTTTGGTGAGTGGAGTCTAGCATTGGCTGCTTTTAGCTTCTGACCTTACTAAGATGAATATTATTAGCCCGGCTGGTAAAGTGTTTAAGTCTAGATGCATGGGAGTTGGTGTACGTACGCCCCCAACTGAACAATTTTGGGACTTTCTTTCTGAGATTATCATAAATATGGTACCTGCTTAGATTTTATAAAAATCTCAGTGATAACATAAAGTTACTTGAGGTAAAAACTTGTCTGAAATTATTCTTTATTGGCAATTAGTACCTTTTTAAGCAGAAGTATATTTATTGTTTTTTTATATCTGAGTTTTTCTTCAACTAAAGATTCATGCACAAATTATGGAATTTGGAATTGACTAAACCCCTGAACACTCTCTACTTTCTCTGTCCAGCTCCAGAACAAGATTTTTCTAGTTTTTGACATGTCCCATCACACACAGCTGAACTCATAAAATCAGTAATCCATTCAGTCCAGTAGCATAATGCAGATTTATGTATTGTCTGCCATTTGTGAGGTACGGTGGGTATGCAACATTTTTAAAAGTACACTAAAGGTATACCGTTGTTTTCTTGTTATAATAGAAGAATGGTTTATATTGGAGTCTAATAATTTTTTTACAAGTCATATTAGAAGGGCCCAAAGTCTGTGTTTTAACTGAGATTTCAACTACTGTTGAAAATGAAATGGTAGCATAGCCAAGTATATATGCTTCAAATATCATAGCAACAAACTATAAAGCAATAAAAAATTTTGAATTATGAATTATGCAATGAATATACGTTAAGAACTCCGAAAACAACTATACATTATAGAACATCTTTGTTTTCCAGGACTATCTTAGGCTTGGTATTTAGGAAAGGTTTGACTATCCAGGCTTGATATTTAGGAAAGGTTTCAGCTCAGGGATCCGTAAAGAAGAGATCTGTGGCTGAGTGTAAAGTAAAGGATGTAAAAATATAGACTTCAATATAGATTGCATGTTTTCATCAAGAAGACAAAAATTATAACCATTGGACAAATAAACAGCATCATGAGCGATGGATAAAGATAGAAATTGTTAATGATTTCATTTTACTGGAATCAACAATCAATACCCTTGGTACCAGCAGTCAGATCAGGAGATTTACTGCATTGGGAAAGTACACTGTCAGGGACCTCTCCAGATTATTAGAGAGCAATGATGTCAGTTTGAAGACTAAAGTGTACCTGATTCAGGTCATGGTCTTTTCAATCACTTGCCATCCATCTGAACACATGACAGAAGAATTAATACCTTTGAACTCTGGTATTAGAGAAGAGTACTGTATATTTATGGACTACAAAAAGAATAAGTTAGTCTGTGAGAGGTTGCAGTAAGAATACTCTTTGGAAGTATACTTTGGGCATTAAGTTAGGAGAGGTTATTCCTTGAAAGACATCATGCTTGGAAAGGTCAAGAGTCAATGAAAGAAAGGAAGACCCTGGATGAAATGGATTGACACAGTGACTGCCTCAATGAGCTCAAGTGTGTCAGAGATAAGGAAGACAGCACAGGATAGGTCAGGATTCAAATCTGTTGTTTATAAGGTTGCTGTATGTTATACTAGACTTAACAGCCCCTAAGACAGTAACAACATTTCTCTTCTAAGAGAATTCTGATGGACTAAGAGGATAAAGAGTTGTGCTGCCAGCCCAAAGGCAGGCGGTTCAACTCCACTTGCTGTCCCAAGGAAGAGAGATGGACAATCTCCTCCCTTGCTGTTTACAGCCTCTGTAGACCTCCTGGGGGATCAGCTATGAGTAGGTGCCAACACAACAGCAATGAGTTTGATTTGATTCTTCTCTAACTAGCTTGAATAACCAGAATAAAAGTTGAGATATAAAGTACTCCAGGAAATTTTATTTCATGAGAGAAAGTGTGTTGGTTTGTTAGTAGGTGCAGGCTATTTTGCCATATGTATTGTGGGGAAGTAGGAGATTGTTAGATATGAACTTACCTTTAAAGATGTATGTAATCTATGTACAATATTTTAATATTTCAAAATAAAACAAAATTAATATTTACAGGTGGCTTACTAGGAATTCCACCAAAATATATTCATTGAGATTTCAGAAAAAGAGAGGCAAGAATAGAGATGTGTATGCAGTAATTAGGCTTTGAGTAAGGTTTTTTATTTATGGCAAAGACTTAGAAGTGGAAAGAGTAGACAAGTGGAGTTATTTCTAATGTAAACAATTTTGAGGTAATACTGAACAAACCAATTAGATTGTAGTCCTCATATTGTAATAAGCAAATATTAGAGATGGGAGTGGGGCCAATCTTGAGAGTGCCTTTGATGAATGACTAATAGGGCACATTAGGTTACTAATTTAAAAGTCGGGGGTAGGGGGTGGGGTTTGGGGAGGTGTGGGGGGGATTGTGTACTAATGAGGGAGTTTTTCTTTTGCTTTTCAAGGAGA